TTGTGACAGTTTCCCATGAATGAAATGGAATTTCTTTCTAAAGAAGAGTTAAGAAGAAAGATGTCAACATCTTGGGGAGGAAAGAGTTTATATCTCTGTAGGCAAAATTTGCATGAATTGCCTGCAGCTTTGTTTGAATTGACTGAGTTGGAGGAACTTTACCTGTCAGAGAGTAAACTTACAACAATACCTGAAAATCTCGGAAATCTAAACAATCTTACGATACTTGTTGTGAGTACAAACCAGCTGTCCATATTCCCTACAAGTTTGACTCAGCTGAAAAAACTCAGAGTGCTGAACATCGGAGATAACAATCTAACCAGCATCCCTGATGCTATTGGGGAGATGGTGGAGCTGGAGATACTGTGGCTGAATGACAACCAGTTGACTGTGTTGAGTCCAGCTATAAAACAGCTGAAGAAACTCAGAGTGCTGAACATGGCATATAACAATCTAACCAGCATCCCTGATGCTATTGGAGAGATGGTGGAGCTGAAGCAACTGTCGCTGAGTGGCAACCAGTTGACTGTGTTGAGTCCAGTTATAAAACAGCTGAAGAAACTCAAATATTTGGATGTGAGAGGGAATCCTTTTACAGTTGAAGGAATGAGAAGTGTTATGGAGCTAAAGGATAAGGATTACTTTTTATTATTAGATGTCCCAGGTGAGTAAAGGAAATTCCTCTCCACATTAATGTTGTAACATGTGCATTTACTAAATTGGTTCTATTGGTTGACTTGGAAGTGGTTATGCTGCTTGTTACTGAGAATTACAGGCAGCTGACAATAGTTTCATAATAAAGCTTGAGAAGAATATGAAGTAAATGCTATCACAGTTATACTGTATGATTGGACGAAGTTTGCATCACTTTACAAATACATGACATTTTTACTGGAAGTTTTGGTTATATCTTGAAAGGTTTATTTTAACAACTTGGCTGACATTGAAATTTTAGTTGAACTACAGTGTACTATAATTTGATAGGGAATTGAGGAGGGATAAAGTTTATTACAAATCATTTTACAGTAAGGGATTATTGTAAGTTGTAATTTTTGCTTTCTA